TGCGAGGTGCAAGCCGCTGGGAACCGTTTGTTCATTGTCGACTTCGACAACAAGGTGCATGAGGACCCCACGGGTGCCATGGAGAACATCACCAACATCGATGGCACCACCGAGGTGATCTTTAAGGACAGCTCGGACGGGGACAGCGAGGCAATTACCCTCGTGACCAACAGCAGGTGCTTAGCACAATCAGCTCGGAGGCGTCATCGTGATGAAGACGCGGCCACAACCATTTTGGGTGCCATCCGAGCTGAGATATTACTTCGGTGGCCGTGGAGATTTGATTCGCAGCCCCACGAGGTGTGGTATGCACCACCCCTCGACGAGCCCGAAAAGTGGATGGAGCTCTTGGAAGCTGCAGAGAAACGCCTTGGCAAAAGCAAGTACTTCTACCTCACCGACGCCTCGAAGGAGATGAGTATGCTCAAGCAGCTGGTGCCTTGGGAAATTACCAAGGCACAAGTGTACGGCAAACCAATGACAAGGCGGGTGCCGGTGGATGTTCCCTTTACCCACCGGGGAGCTGCCCTCATCACGAATGGCGGCAAGCTGCAGCTCGAGAGTGAGGACATCAGTGAAATTCGGCAGCCCAGGCTCAAGTTTGATGTTCCGGTGCGCATTGCTATCTTCTTCTACGGCATGGCTGAGGACGACAAGGAGATGAAGCCAGCACATGATGATCCGCGGGCACATGTTCCAGGGCTAAGGACAGATGTGAGTTTTCCCGGGGTGCCTGACAGCATTCCAAAGGAAGTACGTGCAGCAGTGGCCCGACTCCACTGCAATGCTGGGCACCCGTCCAAACAGGAGACCATACGCCTCCTTGCCGCGCACGGCTCGATCAACAGTGCTGTGTTGACTGCCTTGGACCACCTTAAGTGCGGTACATGTGAGAGAGCAAGGATGCCTTTGAAACCACGTCCTGCCTCTGTGCCAGAGTTTGTTGGTCAGTTTGCCGAGCAGCTGCAAGCAGATGTGTTTTACGTCAGAGACCTTTCTGCAAACAACCACCCGGTGCTAGGTGTGACCTGCCTCGCCACCAAGTTCTACCAGGCCGCTCTGCTGCCTTCGCGTGACCCTCAGGTTGTCCTGAACGAGTTCGATAGGCTCTGGCTGCGACCTTTTGGATATCCTTTGTTCATGAGTGTCGACGCAGATGGAGCTTTTGAGGGCGCATTTCAGCAGCACTTGCAAGAGAGCGGCACGGTTTTCACAGTTGTGTATGCTGACGGGCATCATCAAATTGGTGCCATTGAGAGAAAGAATGCTGTTTTTCGGTCAGTCCTGGAGAAGCTGATTGATCAGAACGCTGTGTATAACAAAGAGCAGTTGGATTTATGTTTGAGTGCGGTAATGTGGTCAGTTAACAGCAGTATCCACACAAGGGGCAGAAGCAGCATGCAGGCAGTTTTCGGGAAACTTCCAAGATTTCCTGGAGATCTGTTCTCCGACAGCGCAGCGTTGGCAACCTCCGATTACCACATGCTAACGGAACACCTTCGGACCCAGGCCTGCCAAGCTGTGAACGAGATGTCCGCCTCATCAATCATCAGGCGGGCACTGTTGCGGAAAACCGCGACCTCACGAGCCAGAGTTAAATGAGCTACTCCCTGGCTCTCTCGTTGCATACTGGAGATGGAACCTCAAGGCCCGTGGTCGCAAACGCGGCGGCTACATCCTTGGCCGGCTCGTTGTCAAGGACGAGAAGAATGCATGGGTGCAAAGCGGAGGCTCTTTGGTTCAAGTTACACACGAGCAGTTGCGGCCAGCAATCGGGATCGAGACTTGGACCCCGAGTCCTGAGGACATAAGGTTGCTCAAGAAGGGTGACAAGCTCCTCAAGGACGGACTCTGGGACGATGGTCGTGAAAGCGGACCTCCTGCAAAGGAACCTCTTGAACCAGCTGTGCATGATCCTCAGGCTGCAGCTGGAAGTGATGACATTGTTGCCGGCCCCCTTCGTGACGATGGTGCCGAAGAACAACGTTATCAACTACCAGTTCTTTCCAAGGACGCTGCAGGTGAAGCACAGCCACTTCCTCTACAACAGCAAGACGCATCGACCCTACCTCCTGGTGCCGTGTCACAAGGTCAAGAACCACTGGAGCAACCGCCGCAGAACATCCACGTGTTCTCGCCGAGGTACCAACAGCAGAACATCTGGCAGTACGGCGACGGACCTGAAGCCCGACCTGGTCGTGCAAGATCAAGGTCAAGAGGACCGGCGCAGACTGCGCCTTTAACACCACAAATATTACCACCTACGCCGAGCCAACCGTCCACTCCACGACCACCACAGACCCCAAGAAGGAGGGCTTCACTTCGGCAGGGACAACTTGCTGACAGAGGTGGGGGCGCTCTACAGACTTCGGCGCCTAGAACACCAAAGGAGCCAGAACCTTCGCGACTACCACCAGTTCCTTCTCCACTACCACAGACGCCTGTTCCCTCAGACTTTCCGTTTTCACCTGAAGTTCCTTTTTCTGCAGACGTTTTGGGATCAGCAGAGTACGGTTCCGCAGAGTACGGTGAGGCTCCTCTTGAAGACGAGCCTGCAGACAACGCCGCTGACACAACGCAGGCGGCCTCAGTCGAGCCCTCAGGGCCCAAAGCAGCGACACCTCCGAGTTCGAGTCGCATTGCAGACGATGGACCTCCGCCGCAGCTACCTGCCAAGCGGCCACATGATGCACTACAAGCGCTGAAGAAGAAGAAGGACAAAAAGAAAGCCACCGCAGTTCACTCAGTCTTGCTGTCGCACTTCGTGCTTGACGAGCTCTACGAGATCTATAGACTTGAAGATGGCTGGGACGGGTCACCAGACTACAGGCTGCACTCACCTTGCACTGCTTTTCGTTGCTGTGCAGCTAAGGTAGAAGACACTGAGGTTTCTTCAGATTCATCTGACTCTTCAGATGATGATGGTGCGTCCCACGCTTCCGGGCTCTCTAGACAGGAGCGCAAAGCTATCGACCGCGAGATTCCTTGGAGAACCCTGATGAAAGAGTACCCCTCGGACGTCATCAGCCTCTATGTGAAGGCCAACCGCAAGGAGTATGACTCCTGGATGTCTTGGAACTCCATCAAGGCGCTCAGTAAGGAAGAGGCAAGACGCGTGCTCAGTGACCCCATCCTTCGGAAGCGGGTCATGCCCTCAAGGAACGCCTACCGTGACAAGAACAGAGGAGCCAGACCCGAAGTGCGAGCAAAGTGCAGAACTGTAATCCAAGGGTGTCATGATCCTGACCTTGGTCTTCTGGACAGATCGAGTCCAACACCGACTCGTATCGCAGAGCTGCTGCTCTACGAAATTGCTTGCGCAGGCTACAACAGACGCTTCCTCAAGAACAAGAAGGCCTGGAAGCTCTGGTCGGGCGATGTTGCCACAGCTTTTCTGCAAGGTCGACCAGAGGAACGAGATCTTCCGATCTACATGCGACCACCACGCGATGGGATACAAGGGCTCGCTGGAACGTTCCCGTTCGACCTTTATCAGATCGTGGGCAACCTGTACGGACTGTGCAACGCGCCGAGGACCTGGATAAATCATATTGTCCGGAAGCTCCAGGCAGCCAATTTCATAAGGCACCGTCTGGACCACACAGTGTACTACAAGCTCGACTCACAAGGTGAACTGCTAGTCGTGCTCCTTTTCCACGTCGACGACTTCCTGACGGCGTTTCGCGAGGACTACGAGTTCAGCGAGTTGCAGGGCATGTTCACTTGGGGACAGACCAACCTTCTAGATGATGGTGACTTTGTCTTCAAGGGCAAGGAAGTCAGCCTCAAGAAGGTGAACGGCGAATACGAGATCCACGTCACCCAGAAGGCCTTCATCAACGAGTTGGTGGCCGGCAAGCTCAAGCGCGGCAGAGCCTCGGAAACAACTCCCTTGACTCCTGAGGAAATGAAGGAGTACCGCAGCTGCGCAGGGAGCTTGCAGTGGTTGGCTGGGAGTACAAGACCAGACATTGCTGCAACAGTGTCTTTGAGCAACCATGGCGTGAACAGCAACCCAAGCCAACTGAAGGTCCTCTACGAGTGCATCGATTACGTCAAGGAGACTCTAGATCATGGCCTGGTCTTCCGAGGAGTTGCAATCAACTTCGCCACTGTAGTGGTTGGCTACGCAGACTCCTCCTGGGCAAATGCTCCTGGAGGCAAAAGCCAAATGGGCGTGATCATTGTGATCACGGGACCAGAGTGCCAAGATCAGGTCTCACGAGCTACAATACTGGACTGGAGAAGCTCGAGGAGCCCAAGGGTGACACGGTCCACTCTTGCCAGCGAGGCAAACGCCATGGATGATGGCGTGGACAGAGCCACCTTCCTCAACGTCTTCATGTCCGAGTTTCTAAAGAGGCCCAACAGCAGTGGACAGCTTGACAAAGGAGTACTGAAGCAGCTCCAGGTGACCGATTGCAAATCCCTCTTCGACGCAGTTATCTGCGAGCATCCTTCTCTGGAAGAGAAGAGGACTCTGATATCAATCCGGTCAATCCAGGACTATATCAGTCCAAGTCAAGTTCACTGGGTGCCTAGCGAACTGATGTTCGCTGACGTGCTTACAAAGCACTCGACCTCTCTGCGTGACGAGTTTCTACTCTGGATGGACAAGCCACATGTACAGCTGAAGGAGGATGAACACCAAAAGAAAGTTTTTACCAGTGTGAATTTCAGTCTTGTTGCTCCTTAGTGCTTGGTGTTCACCACTTCTGTGTGCGCTGCCATCAGTGGATCCCTTGGGCTTTAGTAACCTTTAGCTGTGAGTGCCGTCCAGCGAAAACATGTGCGTCTGAGAGCATTGCAGAGTGAAGCCGCGCTTTCTTCAGATCCACGTTGCCATAAGAAGAACAACACAATTCAACAGACCCCGTAAGCAGATACCCCGAGAAGAATTCCAGAACCAGCCAGGTCCAGAATCGATTTGCCAAATGCTAGAGATGAGTGCTAGATGTAGGCCAGATGTTGCAACATTTAAACCTTGCACTCCCGTTGTAGTAGAAGAATGAATATCGAATATTAATGTTAATTATAGATTTTCTGACTTCTCGGATATATATATATATATCTATATATATTAAAATTTGATTTCGTAAAAAATGAATTAATGACAATTTGTTTTCAATCAATTCTCATGGCAAATAAAATTCTAGTTGTATGAATTTTTTATTTGTCTGCGAATATTTCAATAATAAAGAGTTTGATTCGATTTATTTAAAATAGATAATATTCTTTTTGATATTAGAAAATTTGAATTTTGGTAGATTATAACTTCTGGCATAAAAAGATAGAGTTTGAAAAATAAATATTATTATTTATTTATTGTTATTTCAAATTTAGAGTGAGAATTAAATATATTTTTGGATTGAAATTTTGATAGAAATATTTTTTTATATTTTTTCTTATATTTTTATATTTATTTATATAATAAAAAAATTCGTTATGATTTTAAATTTAATTTTTTTTTATATAAAGATGAATTTGAGATGCTTAGTCGCACGATGATTTTAAAATATATTAATTCGCATTGAAATGAATCTAAATTTCTCAAAGAAATATATATATATAATAATTTTGATAGATATATATTTCGCGCGAATTTAAAGATTTCTTTTCTAAGTCTTTCTAGAATTTTATGAATTATCTCGGCCCTTGCCTTAATGGTATAAGATGTGGTTTCGTTTATTGGTATAGTTAGTCGTTGTGGTGTTCTTGATGGATCTTGAATTTGAGGATTTTGGAAGAGGAGGTCCGTCTTGGGATGTAATTGCCTCGGCTTCTATGTCGGACTTGTCTTCGGCGAGTACTGCAGGGTTTTCGGCTATAGCCTTTGTCGGGCTTGCGGATTCGGTGTGATTGTCGTCTGGATCGATGGTCTAATCGCTCTTTGTTGTCGTTTTGGTTTTTGCTCGAATCGCGCGTGTCTTCGCTTAATTTAAGTCTCACATAATTATAATAAAAAATATATATTAGAGAGGTCTCGTTGTTTCCAGCAGCGGATAAAGAAGGTTCCAAATTATTTTGATGTTGAAATATTTCTTATGAGATAGATAGGTAGATTTTCAAGTAGATAGAGAAATAGATAGGCGGGCAGATAGATAATTAGATAAGTAAGCAAATAAGCACAGACAAATAAATAAATAGATGGCTAGACGAGCAGACGGACAGATAGATAGGTAAGTAGACAAATAGATAGACAAATAGGTAGGTAGACAAGCATCCAAGCAAATAGAGACAGATAGATGAGTAGATTCAAGCAGATATAGATAGAATACAGGCAGATATAGATAGATATAAATAGACATAACCAGATATAATTAGATATAGACAGATACGTAGATAGGCAAAGAAACAGACAGGTAGGCAAATGACACGTAGATAAACAGATAAACAAATAAATAGATAAGCGAGCAAGACAGATAAATAGGCCATCAGGTAGATAGGCAGCCAAACAAATATATATTCAAGCAGAGGTAACAGGCAAGCAAATAAGCAATTAAAAAAGCAAATAAATAAGAAATCAAGTAATTAAACAAATAGACAGATTCGTAGATAGATACACAGACAGATAAATAAACAAATAAATAAGCAAGCAAATAGATAGGCAAGCCGACGAGAGATAAAAAGACGCGTAGATAAGCAAATAATAGGTAGGTAAAATGATAAGCAATCAAAATAATTAAGCAAGCAAATAAATAAGTCAAGTAACCAAGCGACAAATAGAGAAGTAAGAAATAATCATATATAGAGATAGATATAAATAGTCAGATAAAAATAATTATAGAGATAGATAGAAAAATAAATATAATAAAAAGACAGAGACAGAGAAATAGAGAGATAGAGACAAAAAAGCAAAGAGATAGAGAAATAGAAGACAAAAAGGCGGAGAAGTAAAGAGACAAATAGATAAATAATTAGATAAATAGATGGAAAAATAAAGAGATAGACAGGTAGGCAGGCAGGTAGACAGGAAGGCAAGTAGACAAGTAGGCAAGTAGGCAGGCAGGTAGGCAGACAGGCAGATAGGTAGACAGGCAGATAGACAGACAGACAAATAGATAGGTAGGCACGTAGGTAGGCAGGTAGACAGGCAGACAAGTAGACAGGCAGACAGCTAGACAGGCAGATAGGCAGGCAGGCAGGCAGGCAGACAGGCAGACAGGCAGGCAGGCAAGCAGACAGACAGCCAAGCAGACAGGTAGGCAGGTAGGCAACCAGGCAGACAGACAGACAGAGAGACAGGCAGATAGGCAGACAGGCAGACAGGTAGACAGGAAGACAGGTAGACAGACAGACAGACAGGCAGACAGGCAGACAGGCAGACAGGCAGACAGGCAGACAGGCAGACAGGCAGATAGGCAGACAGGCAGACAGGCAGACAGGCAGACAGGCAGACAGGCAGACAGGTAGACAGGCAGACAGGCAGGCAGACAGGTAGGCAGGCAATCCCAGGCAGGGCCAGGTGGGCCCAGACAGGGCAGGTAGGGCAGGCAGGGCAGGGCAGACAGGGCAGGTAAGGCAGGCAGTGCAAGGTAGGAGGGAAGGAGGACAGGAGGACAGGAAGGCAGGCGGGCAAGTGGGCGGGCGGGCGGCCGGCCGAAGAAGTCGCCCGAGTTAGCGATAGGGTCACAGGAATTGCGAAGGATTCCAATCGCACCATCTTCCTCGGATTGGTATTTTGGTTTGATTATTACCGTTTTTGTTGAGGGCCTTTTTCCACGGCAAATCCTGGTTTGATGATTTATGGTTTGGGTCTAGGGAATATTTTTCCCTCTCGCATGGCTTAGGCCTCGGGAGTATAGGGCTTAGGGTTTTGAGTAGTGTTTAGGGGTAGTATGATGAAATAAGTTGTGATTTATGCAGCGGTAATATAGGACTTATGGGGTAGGGCCCCTGCCTATGAGTGGCACGAGAAGTACCTGTAATTTCGAGCTATTTCGAGTTTGCGAATCTGGAAGCTTAGGTGCTTCTCGGGGGCGAGCGGGCAGGCGTGCGGCAGGGCAGGGCAGACAGGGCAGGCAGGGCAGGTAGGGCAGACAGGGCAGGCAGGGCAGGCAGGGCAGGTAGGGCAGGTAGGGC